TGTAGTTTTGTTGATCATGGCATAAACACCGATCACTTCATTTGTTGATTTATTAATACTGCTGGATTAAAGGTTGACCCAAAATAATTAATAATAATCCAAATTTTTTTTTTAAAAAAAAATCGCTTTTTAATTAATTTAATTAGAAGTTTGTTATTTACCACCACTGGTGCAATAATATATATCACGTGACTCCGAACTGAAACTTCGATTTTTTACTTTGGTTACTATTACCTTTAATATTACTATTTATTATTCGAAACTTTATTGTTATTATAAATTGTATGTAAAGAATCTTTATAATACAATTGATACATTCAATAAAAGAAATTGACAACAAGCTAATCTTTATTTGTTTTGAGTGCAACTATTTAACTACACAATTTAACAACCTTGCTCACCTTTACAAAGCTAAACTAATACGTGGTTATCCCAAGTATTCATTTTCTTTGTTACCGGATGATTCAACTTTGTATTTTGAACATCCACGAATATTATGGCCTTTTCCGAAGCAATAGCTACACGTTTTCTGTACTGTTATATCATCTGCTTTACCTGACGTAACACGATTATTTTCTACCGTTGATTTGTACTGCTTTGGAGGTCGTCCTTTTGGTTTGTGATATTCAGGATTTGATATATCAAGAAGAATGGACAAAGGTTGGGATTATCTTGCATAGAAGATCCTTGTTTATCCTGTAATGATTCAGTACCTGAAAAAAAAACAAATTCTTAGTGTTTTCTCAGCTTAAAACTCATGCTATACGATATATGGTATTTGAAAAAAGAAATACTAGTACTCTTTCCAAAGCTTAGACCGGTGTTCTATGATATTTCATGATAAATTCCGTTGAAACTCTGATTAATTCAGCTGTAATAGTAGTAATACTTTCTGATAACAGTGATTTGAATGCTTCGGTACCATATTGAATTTTTTATTGACCTTTTTCTGATCGTCAGAGTATATACATTGTCCATTTTTAATTGATTCATGTAACACAATGGTATTGCATGATTTCTTTCACCATTTACAATCGTAATAAAACTCGTTGAGTTAGTGGGTGGATTTAAATTCAAATTAACCCAACGTGTATGAATATGCGAAACATAAAACATCACTTTTTCTGACTGGAATAAGCACCCTGAATTGATGGCAGCATATCATTCCTTGATTAATAATAAACATACATTAATGAGATCCTGTAAATGAATTTGAGGTATATCATATGAATGTTCTAATATACCATTAAAATTGCTTTCGTCAGCTTCAACCTGATTAATTGAAACCAAATTAGCTTGATAAAGCAATGATTGGTATTTGAGCTCTTTTGAATTGACAGGGGAATAGGCAATAAGTTCATTTGTAATATAGAATTATGTTCTTTGAAAATAGTGTTATAAATTGATGGAAGCCCAACCGACGGATTTGATCCATAAAAATCATTAAATTCAGGTACAATGGAATTCTTTATCTAATTCACGTTCAATGGCCGCTACTAACTCTTTTAATTACGCGACTCAGTCAACAAGTTTTTTTATAACGCCGATTATCGATTCTACACGCTGAAAATAAAAATTAATTAATAATTCCATGTGATTACCAAGGTGATTTTGTATTTCTTTTAAAACAGTTTAACTATAAAATATTGTATAAATACATTTTCTAAAGTAAAATGAATTTACAATTTATAATATTAAATAATACTTATTTAAAACTATATTAAATATGTTTGAATTTTAATTAAAAAAACTACATAGAATATTTAACACATTTACATAAAATCTAAGATGGATCCTTAAAATTATATAAAACAGTGTATGTAAATTTATATAATTTATATAGAACTTTTCATACAAAAACATCTCCTTTCACTGCTTACAAAAAAAAGTAACAATTCTGAAGGTATGATAAAATTAAGATACTAAAAAATTTGCTTAATTAACTCAATTGTGGTTAAAAAATATTTATTATAAATTCGAATGTCATGATTTTATTAGAAATGAACAAGTTCAAAATAAATCACATTTCATATATTTTACATTTTATAGTCCTTATTCCTCTTTAATCATGAACTCTTGTTTTTGTATAACGTAAATTGTATAATGTGATATGCCTTTCCTTCTTATGTCCGGAAACTTATTCTCATAGGGCGCAGTAATCTCTCATTTAAATTTTTTAATATCATTTTTCGTATTTTTGTATAACGTTAATTTGTTTGTAAATTTTTTAATACTGTAACTTTCATTTTTTAAACATTCCAAAGAAGAAAGTAACATCATATTATATGCAAAAATATCAAATAATTGTCCGGAAACGTATTCTCCATAGGGTGCAGTAACTTTTCATATTTTTTTTTTATCATGAGAAATTAAATAATAATTTTTCGTATTTTGTATAACGATTAAATTCTTAATATCTTTTATTTATATTTTTATATGCTAATTTATATAATGTAAATGATGTAATATATTTTTTTTTGTAGTTTTTGAAGTTTGATCAATTTATCTTTTTTGTTTGACGACAATATTTTAACCTAATCAAAGTGAACGTAATTACGTTTATACAACGAATTCCGATATATTTATTTATTGAGGAGTACATATAAATTTTACATTAACATAAATTTTTTCTAGATAGTATATAATTTATATTATGAACTGAACCTGTGCCTGAAAATCCAAAAGCTGAATCATATGAAGTGATTCATGAATTTTAAAATTAACTGCAAATAAATAAAGAAGAGCTTTATAATTTATTTGCGTAAAGAATTGTTTTATTATTTAACGCATTCTTTTTATCTGTAATTTATTATATTATTTCTTGAATAAATATATTCTATAAAATATCTTTATTATTATTGATAGTTTGTATTTCAAACCAATTTTAAGGCAACCATCTAATTTTCATGATGATCGGAATCCCAAACACAACGTTCACAATCCTGGCAAATCATAATCTCAAAAATTCAAAATCCCGATACTCATTATCCCAACACTTATTAACTTCTTTTATAATTTTACATTATTAGCCACATAATACCATTATTAAGTACGCTCGTATGATAACAGAAAAATATTTTGCAATAATTAATGTTTTTATCAATACGTCGCAAAAATTAAGTAACAATTAAATATTTTGAAGATTTTCAAAATATAATATTTTTATTTCATAACTTAATGTTTTCATTAATATTTGATTATAGTAGAAATATGTGGATTTCTGAGATTTCCGTGTATCATGAAATTTCATTGGAAATCAATAGAATTCTTTAGCAAAATATATAGAATTCATCTGCAGATATCTGTGAAATTCAAAAAATTATTAATAGCGCGGTGCAGCAGTGCTAGTAGTCATAATAAAATTTATAATATACGATAGTAAAAGAAAGCAATAAATTTTCATTCTACATTTTCTTTTTTTACTATTTATATTTATGACATATTTTATGATATTTTAACGTAAATATTAAATATAATGTTAACAATCAAAAAATATTAAATAGTGTAGTGATTAGGTTGCGAGATATAACATACTGTATATATTAATAATATAAGCCGAGGTATCTGGTTCAGTTCTTTAAGGTGAGTAAAAATAAATATAATTAAAGAAAGCTAAAATATTTTTTAAAAAAAAATCACCCGATATTAATCCACGTGTGACGACCTATCTCTCCACATGTTCTGTCACAGGTATTCGGGAAATATTGGTTCCACTTGTAATTTTCATGATGGTTCCACATAGAATTCTCTGCAGATTTTAACCGGCAAAAACTTCCTGATGTAGTGTCCTACCATTAAGGTTTTTTCTTGACAATATACACAAATCTATAAGCCGGTAATACGATTATTTATTTATTTTTTCATTAGTTAGTTTTGGCTAAACAAAATCTTCGGCACAGTAAAATTAGTGTTACGTTGTATGTTACAGATGTATAATAGAAATTTAGACATATATTCCAATAAGCACAATACACATAATACAATATGTGTCAAATTCAGTTGTACTATCACCAAATTTTACACTTGAATACATTAATAATTTCATTGATAAAATCATTAGATTATTGTGATCGTAACAATCAATAAATGTATATTATGTATATTTTATTTATATTGAGTAAATTTACAAGTAACTTCATACAAAAGAATATTCCTATGAACTGATATTTTTAAATTACTACTTAATGATTAATCAATTCCTTATAATATAATCATACGCGCTAATCTCTAATATATTGGAATCTTGCACTTTAATATTATACAACTCAAATCTCTTCACTTCATTCATCAAAGAAACCGATTCCTTACTATAAGTAACCATTTCATTAATAGCCAAATACTTAACCCTTTTCTTTTTCATAATATATTTTTTTATAGAGGGTAAAATATCTTGTTCATCATCGTCATAATGGATTATTAATTTCTTAATAAAGGTATTTTGAGAATTCTTTAGAAACACTTCAAAATCACTTGTTTTAATGTAATCAAGTTCCAAACATAAATATTCTAATTTAGGAGGAAGGATTTGTCCTAAATTTTGTAAAATTATTGAACTACATTCAGTTCCATCATCTGTACAGATTGAAAGATAATTAAGATTTTGTTGAATATTTTCAATTAAATATAATACTTGATAAGTAAACTGATTTTCAATTTCATCAAAATCAACTAATTTGATATTTTTACAATATTTTATAATTAATTCAAATAATTGTTGGATGAATATTTGTGATAATTCATAACAAGAATCAAGCCTAAAGTTCTCTAAATAATTACAAGATTTTTGTAATAATAAATCTAATGATTCAATCTTTGGTATTTTACTTATAAATAAGGATTTCAATTTAAATGGTTTAGTTAAATTAATAATTTGTTGAGTAAAATTATTATCTAAAGAAGAACAATCAATGATATGAATAGATTCTAAAACATTTAATTGTTCAAATATTTTATCAAGATTGATTATTCTTTTAAAATTGACATAATAAAAAATGATTGTATTTAAAGTATTTGAACAATTATATATATTTGATGATAATAATGATTTAAATAAAGATAAAGAATCTTTATTTATTAAAATTTTCTTAAGATTTTGATGTGAATGAATTATTTGTAACATGCGATCTTTAATTACCGGATTTTCATTGATATGGTAGCTAATGACACAATATTTCAAATTTCTAATATTTTGAATAAAATTTGTATTCTGTGAAATTACTTCAAGAATCATATTGACATATGCGCTATATCTATTGCTTGTGTTTATGTTCTCAATTTCGAGGGTATGTAAATTTACTTCATTTTCAAAAAATATTGTTAATAGTGGTACATACATATTTAACCTATCAATACGACGTAATGAATATAATCTTAACCAAAGCTCAACAGATAAAATAAAATTATATGTATTTAAATATTTTAAAAACTTAGGATAATTGAACAGTGTATTCGAAAGTAATGAATTATTAATAATTTTATATTCATTTAATTTCGTTTTAAAGTAAATATCACTAATATGATAATTTTTTTCAGGAATTGAAAATTTATTATCAATAGTTTTACATTCACTTAATTTCATTTTAAGATCATCATTTAAGTAAATATCAATGACACAAAAATTATTTCTGGGAATTGAAAATGGATTTTCCCATAATAACGGAATCGCTAAACGACACCATAATCTGTTAACTAAAATGCATGAATGTAAAGTTGAATAATCTTTTTGGAAATATTTTATTATTTCATAAATTAATTCAGGTAAATCTCCTGAAAATACTTTTGAGCAAGACATGTAATTGAAAGTGTAAGAGAAAAGGGGGAAGTATCAAATTATTATTATGCCGATCTGAGTAAATTTATATTCATTTTCGGAGTGATGATTCCGATATTGTCGCACAATAATTGTGTGACATGCTTTAATAATTAGGCGCAGTTTAATAAAGCCATGGCTAAATTGGCTAATGATTACAAATGATTACAAATCAGGTGTTGATCCCGGTTCACCGGCCAGAATCAATGGAATAATATTAGTATAACAGGAAATTATTAAGTATGTATATTAGATTTTGTTTAGTTAGGTTTAAATGATTTTTATATAATTTGTCTTAGTTAAGTTGCATTATGTTGTACCGCTTTGTTGTATTTTGTTGTAATATAAATGTATCTTTTTCATACTTTTAAACCGTTGATAATGTGATACCTTTAGGTGGTTTTCAATAGAAAATTTTTTTTTTTTAAAAAAAAAAAAAAAGAAAAGTGCCGTTCAAGAAGTTTTATTGTTGTAAATCGTCACGTGCCTGAATTTTATAATACTTTTATAGACTATCGATAAACTTTCATGTACGATATAGTACGTATTTAATGGATGATTGGTTAAAAATTTGCCGCGTCAGTGGCAAAATTGTTAACCGATCAGTCCGATCACCCATTAATTAATACGACGCTTATATATTCTCAGAAAAATCATACACTTTAGGTTAGATACAAAGATTCAAACTTAAAAATCGACCTGTAAAAAATGATACAAAAAACCTCATTACTCTATTAAATAGACAAAGTAATCATATTTTATTATGGTAAGGCCACACAAATCTGATATATTGTTTAACATAACAAGATTAGACTTAATTAGAGGGGGGGGGTGCAATTTAACAACATACAAAAATATATAAGTCACGTGATAATTACGATCAATTATAAAATAATAGAAAAATGCTGTATAATCATATAGTAATGTTTTGAGCAATTTATCAACCTTATTTATTATTTATTTAATTATTAATCTTGCGTCTTTTGGCAGCTCTTGTATTAGTTTTTATTTCACCACGTACAAATATATCCTTCCCTGCATTTCGACATAAATTGCAACATGGGTATAAAGATTTGTATTTTGATTTAAGGCTTTCCGAAGGTACTGCCAATTCATTATCATGTCCACACCAATAACAAACATCACAATTAACATTAGATTTTCTGCATGAATAATATGCCAATTCCATTGGTGTTTCGCAACTAATTTTTTCCCGTACAAAAACTTTGTTATATAAAATATGATCCTCTGGTACCAATGGAGATCCACAACTATAATCCCAATTATCTATGGCGATTTGACATGCTATTTTATCTTCTGCTGATAATGCGCGTTCACTATAAAGACAACGCATTCTCCCACATTGAAAGCATTGAATAAATTCACGAACACGTGTATTTACTAAAATAGATGATGATGCTCGTTCACTATTTGCAATTGTTGTTATAAGTGTTGGACGATGCTGTTCTGTAGTTTCTGATTGATACACTGTTTGAAATTTAGCATAATGGTCTTTATCAACTGTGATTAATAAAAATTTGTTTATAAATCCAAACTCAATTCTATTAATATAAACAGCAATAATATACATAAAAAGACACACCTGTAGAAGGAATAGGATCTGGTAGCCAATCAAGTGAGTCAAAGACATCATGCGGAAGCTGGACAGATTTACAAATAGTGCATGATGACTGCCCGCATTTTTTTATCTAATGAGAAATTATAATTAATAATTGTTTTTAATATTATATTGATATAATGAGAATGTCCCACCTGAAAAACATATTGGCGCTGCCTACAATGTGTTTTCATAAATTGTTGTAAATGCGTTTTTTTTGATAGAATATCACTTGTTGTTTCTGAAATCTTCAAAGTTTGATCAATTAATAAAATTATCTAAAAGTACAGCATAGTATTAGTTAATATTTTGTGTATTAAGATTCATTCAATTTAATTTTAAATACTTACATTAAAGAATTCATCAATTGTTGTTTCATCTGCTGGATTATAGCATTGGATTGGTTCATTATGTAAAACTAATCTTTCTGTACGGCCTTCCAATAGTTGTTGTACACGTTTTATGCACTCTCGTAAATCATTCTGCAAGGTTGGATTTGTCTTAGCAGCAGTACGAATTTCATCCAACGTATCCAATTTTGCAAATGCAGTTTCAGATTCTGGACCCATTACATCTCTAACTAATGCCACACCTTGTAAACCTAAATTCAAAATAGACATAATTCTTTCTGCTGGATTAGTCCAACTATGGTGAGGTGCCGTACGCATAGCAATGAGCATATCAAAATCTCCATGTAAAAATAAACAAATGAGAGAAATTTGAACTGAACCAAATATTGTACGATGATCAGGACCTCCATCAGTGTAAAGACAAAGAATTGGAGGAATATTGCCAGAATGATAAGTGGAAATTGCATTATAAAATTCAGTAGTATGCCTAATAGCACTACTAGACTGAAATACTGTATCTTTAAATGAAACAAATACCTTTCCACTATAAAAAGAATTTTCAATTGATTCAGGGATATTACAAAAAAATATCACAGAAGGGGTAAGAGATAATTTTGTAAAATCATGGTCACATGCAACTAAAGAAGTTTCTTGAAAAACCATGGTTTTTTTGTTACGTACACCAGTGGAAGTGTTGACACCTTCTCCAATAGGAACCTTATGTTTATCATCAGCACAAATAAATGAAACATACTGTCGGTATAAAATTGCAAATTCTCGCAAATACCGGAAAAGAGTTGCGCAATAATGTGTATCTGGGTGATCTTTGCGAAGTTGCCTTGCCTGAACCATAAATTTAATATTAAAACGTCCAGTATATTGTTTTGCACTTTTTGCTATTGGATTTGTTGGTTGAAACTGTAGGTGAATCCACTCCTCACTTGGAATTAAAATAGTTCCGGGTACAAACTTTTCATCTAGCCGCTGAATAAATATATTGCGAAGATCGCGTATTGAAATAGCAAGTGGCATGTAAAGAACATTGCCATGCCGCCGATCATTAACTGCTGGTAAGTTCTAAGTGAAAATATAAAATAAATTAATATGTGTGTATAAAAAACAAAACAATTTAAAAGTAAATTACCTCATTAAAGTAAGCATTCATTTCATTCCAAAAAGTATCAAATTTAGTTCCTTTAAATCCATTGTTTTGACGCAAATCACATATAATTGATGGATCTTCCAATTCTAACATAAGACGAAGTCGTTCTTCTAACTCTTTACTAATACTATTTGATGCTACTGCGGCATCACCAGTCAAATCATAATATAAAATGCGTAAAATAGCAGGTGTAATTGTTTTGACTAATGAATACTATATTTTTGAAATAAAAACATTAATTGTGATATATTTTTAAAAAATAAATGCAATTTTTATTGACCTTTTTTAATACATTTTTTCGCATTTGTCGACTGAAATACTGTGGCAATTTTTCTTGAATAGTTGTTATTACACGTGCATGTGCAGTTTCTGATTGCACTTCAGAATTAGATGGAACTTTCCAAATATAGTTAATTGTGCCAAGATAATTTCCTTGGTAATACCGATATAAAGTAACAGGAAATTGTATCTGAAGATCCTTAATATAACGATACCGTTGTATTGCATCTTTGGGTAAAAAACTTTCCAAATCAACTTCGGTATAATAGTCTACATTAAGTAAATGATCTTGGAGTTGTTTGTATTGTGCATCAATTTTCCGACAGGAATCAATTGTATATACAATTAGGTCATTAGCTGGGTGACGTGCTGGTGTATCACTTAAATGTATTTGTTTCATAGATTTGTTAATTTTCTCCAAATTACTTGCATATTTTTGCATTGAAGATGTTAAAATAAAAACTTCTTCAGTAATATTGCACCATTGCTCATTAGTTGCCCAAGGTTGTACTGCTGATAATTCTAATGAAGAAGCTAGTTGTTCAAGTTTATCACGCATAAGATTATATTTGGCGTGTCTTCCAGTAAAATAAAAGAGATTGTAATGTTGATCATGCCGATATTGATTTAATCCATCAAAAAATTCTCCAAGTGAAAGTGATCGTTCTGTGAACTTTGTGCAATGTGGATCTATATACCATAATGCTGCAGTCAAACGTTCAACAAAACTCTTTCCAAGAGTACTATGTGTTCCACTTTTCCATCCAACTTCTTTACTTTGTAATAATTTAATAATATCATTATATAATAAGTCTCGGCGTGTATCTTCCTTTCTCTGTTCTGGAAGACAAACAAGTTGTGAATTTCTCATAAGTAAATCAAATGCATTTGGCCCTTGAGGTTCTTGAACACTAGCCTCCGTTGCTTCCAAAACAAATTTAATATGAGTAAATTTTAGCTCAAATAGCATTGATATGTCACCTTCCAGTCCTTCCTCTACATAAACCCACTTTTCTGGAGGCTTTCTTAAAAACACCTGAACACCATAACTCTCAAACTGTTCGTTTGTTGCTGCATTAAAAATGTCGTGAAACTGAAAGCTATCTGTCGGTGATACCTTTACAACCTTATCTGAAATAACAGTCTTTGCTTCTTTAAGCACACACACGACAAAGAAACCCATTTTGTGCGACAGAAAATCAAACATTGTGGCGGGAAGCATTTATATGTTAGTAGAAGATCTGTATTGCACAAATTGCACATGACAATTATGATTTTTGATGATCCTGCCATATATAATTTATTTTTTATTTTTATTTTTAACATAACGACATGTGTGGGGAGAAACAAATACATGAAATCGCACTAACACTACAAAGTATCAGCAGAAAAAAATCAATAAGATGGAACGCCCAACCACCCTAAAACTAAAATAACCCTAGAGTAGCCGCCTGCCTATTCTTGGACAATGAACTAGGCATGGTCTGTCATGTCTATCGTATTATTAAAAAAAGAAGAGAAAAAAGAAAAAGAATTAAAAAAAAAGAACTATTATACAAAGAAAAATCTATATAAGTAGGATAAGAAATATGGGAAGCCCAATTACCCGCATGCAAATAATTAGAAGTAGTTAGAATTAGCCATAATGGTAGAGGTGATCTATTAGATCGAGCTGCAGACGAGGAAGTCATGTAAAAAGGATAAGAATAAGACGATGACGTCCCGTCGGATGTGAGAGGGTGTGATCAATGAGAATGTGAAAAGGCCTCTGGTGTTGGTTGTGTTATGACGTGATGCCTATAGTGATTCTTGTTGTTGGGATGCACGTGCGGAGAGGTTATGTTCTTTTGTCATTTTTTCTTATTTCGGGATATAATGCCAAGTAAGCGTTCCCATTCACGTAAATGGGAATTGTGGCGAGGCCAAATAATTTTATAAAGATGTTGTTGAAACGAAATAAAAATTTGAATATAATTTTACGAGTTTTTTTCATATTAAATGTAAAAGAATTAACAAAGTCGAAATAACTTTGGGGAATGATTTGATGTAATATAAGATAAATTTCATGTGAATTTGCAGAAGAGTGTGTAATATGATCGAAGAGTGTATATCTCTTAATAGCGTCAGATATAAGTGAATTATGTCTGTCGATCATCGTTCATCGATTAAAGAAATTAAAATATTTTTATGATGGTCCAAAGTTGTGTTAATAAATTGGAATAAGTTGCCATATAGGCCAAGATGTGCGTAGTGTCCTGATGATCAGAGCAAAAAGGGCAAGGTATACCATTAGAAGGGTAAATATCTGGGTAATGTTTGAGTAAAATGTCACCACAAGGAAGAAATGTGATTGAGACTTTTGATTTTAAAAGTGTCGTAAGAAGATTTAATGTTACTACAAACATCAGTAGTGGAATTGTGATGAAGCCATTCTTGAGTTAAAGGCCAGTGTATTGAGGTGATATTAAATTGATCAAAAATTGGTGCTAAAGAAGTGTTGCCAAGGAAAGAGTCAAGCGTATAACAGTCCATTGCTTGGCGAGTGAATTTCCATATATTGCGGTTGATAGGACCAAGTGAAGCCCATAGAGGAGCCATCAATGTTCCTGGTAATTTTGTAGCATATATAATTAAATTATGCTTTAGTATACTGTAAATATTATTAATATTATTCTAGTACCGGCCAGAACTATGGTGGAATTACAGTCACATGATCACAGTATATATGTTGTTTATTGACCTTTTATTTGATTAGTAAGGGGGGGAGGGTTATGTTAAACAAAGTATTGGATTTGAACGGCCTAATTTTACTTTTTTTTTACTTTTTGTAAGTCAGAAAAGACGTAATTTGTTTCGCAATTTAATTAATTATTTTATTTATTCTTATGATCAAAAGACATGATAATGCATAATAATATTATTAACTTAAAATTAGTCTTAACGAATTTAATATACTATATTTAATTAAATTTATTATTTATTTTATTTATTCTAGAACATTTAATATACATATAACATTTATAATTTTTTTTTAATCGTGTAAGATTTTATTTATTGAAAAATCAAGCTGCAAGATATTACAGACCAGTTTTTAGCCGACCATCATCTCTAATTTTTTATTAAAAAATTTAATAATGATGATATTGGCCAAAAAACCGATTCTGGATCGGCCCTGATTGAAAAAGCCAATCTTTTTGGACCGGACTTTCAAAATAGGATGGGGTGAAACTTTTTTTTTTTACAGTATTTCTTGGAAATGTAACTTGTCATTTCTTTACTTTCTATTTTTGTAGATTTTGGTTTTAAGTATAGAACACAGAAATGTTGGTAAGTTTTGCAACGGGTGTTGCAAAACTTTTTATTTATTATATTAATTAGGAACGTTTATTAACGTTTCTTGTTGTTTTTTAGATTTTCAGGCTCGGGACACTGGAACACCAAAACAGCAAGTTTTGCAACACCTGTTGTGAAACTTAATTCTTATTTATATTTTTTCATTTTTTTTAAAAA